GTTCTGAGAGCATCCACGAGAGGTGGCCGCAGAGTGGCAGGGCAGGTTCCTTCACAGGCCAGGCCCTCTGAGTCTTGAAGTCCTCTCTCTCTGCCGCCTCTGCTGCAGCCAGGCTGCCAGCTTGGGGACTGACAGTGGCAGTCACAGGGCTGAACCTCTGGCTGCATCTCCAGGTGGGAAAAGGGTCATCAGCCTTTAGTGTCCCATTTCCCCCTGGAGAAGCCAGACAGAGAGGCATAGAAACTACTCAGTGCTTTGGGGACTGGCAGCATCTTGGGCCAGAGGGAGGGAGGGAGGAGTGAGTGAGTGAGTGAGTGAGTGAGTGAGTTAGGTGCTGCTTTCTTCTGCCCATCACTTCTTTCCTTCTGGTCCCTGGCAAGAAAGCCAGCAGTGGGGTGGGCTGCTGGCATTAGGGGAGGCTCCTTTTCTGCCTTCGTCCATCCCTGCCCTATACGCATGCTGGTATTCACCCAGTACGTCAGATTTTATTTATTCATTTTTTCAAAACATCTAGTAACATTCAAGGGGGAGGATGGGTGGTGGGAGGAGGGGTGGACTATGAGAAGGCAGGATAGTCACCCTGCCCTCTCGCTTCCCATCTTTCCTGAGTGCTTACCCCCGTGCCTGAAGGTGAGCAGGCCTGCTGTCGGTGAGCTGTGTGTTTTAAAATGTGAGTTTGCTATTGTCGAGACACGGTGAGGTCACCAGCTCAGAAAAGGAGCGCTGTGGGGAAGACAGCTCTCTGCTCACACTTCAAGAGGAGGGGGCGCACCATGCCTCGCAGGGCCTCCTGGGGAGCTGAAGGACTCAGGGAAGACAGGCCTGGGCCTTTACGGTGGTTCCTGCAGGGAGCAGTGGGCCAGGTGGGCCGAGCAGGGGAGGACTGCCCACTTTGGATCATGTTAGTGGGTTCTGAGGCCTAGGCTGCCTGCAGTTGCCTGGCACCTGGCCCTGGGTGATGAGGGCACGGCCACAGTGGCTTCGTGTGGGAACCTCATAGAGGAGGTGGTTGGGAGTGGGCTCTGGGTTCCTGAGCTTGCGTTTGAGAAACGTGCCCATAGAGCATCATTTGCTACCTTCGGATTAGCTAGCTGTGACCCTTCCCAGGGTCAGCGAGGCCCCAGGCATGGAAGCACAGTGACCCAGGCTTCATTCAGGGCCGCATGGTACCAGTCTGAAAGGACAAGGTGCTGGACCTCGGGGAAGGGGTCACAGATGGAAGCTCAGGGCGTTCTGAGGAGAAGCTGCTTTCTGCTTTGGGTTGGTTGGGTTTGATTTTTGAAGGGGCATGTCAAGGAAGGGAGGAGAATCAGGAGTCTCAGTGTGGGGAGGGAACCCCAAATGAGTCCCTCTAGACATGTGGCAGTTAGAAGTGGGGCTCTCTGGGGCAGAGAGCCCTATTCAGACAGAGGCCTGGGGTGGAGAGAGCACATGGAGGGTCTTGTGGGAAGAGCAGTGTCTCAAGGAAGGCTGGGTGGGTTCCTGGGTTTGATGCCACCTGACTGGTCAGAGCCATTTTGCTCCCTCAGGAACCCCCAGTGAACTTGTGGCCTGAGGAAAGCCTATGGCTGGCTACATCATTGTCACAACATAACTCACAGGTCAGGATGCCAAAGCAAATTACTTTACATGAAAAAAAGAAACCCATCCTGTGTTTCAAGAAAGGTTGGAAACTCAGATTCCGTGGAAATCTCCTGACTTCTGTGAAGCTACCTGGGAACTCAGCAGAAGTATAGCGCGGCTCCTCCCTGTCAGCACGATACGAGCCACGCAAGGCCTGCCTCGTGGCCCCTCTGTGGGGGAAGTCTCTTTCTGCTCTGTCACCCCAGTGGAAGTGCAGGGGTTGAAGAGAAATGGGAACCTGACAAGGTCCACCTGCGAGGTCCAGGGCAGGTCCAGGTCCTGCAACGACCGGACAAGGCTCATTGTTAGAGAAGTACCCATTTATTGAGGAACAGCTTTGCACATTTATAGAGCTGGGGGCGGTTCAACAGAGCAGGGTATTGGCACGGGGCACTTTCTGATTGGTGGGTAAGGATCATGAGGGTCAACAGGGCTCACCATTGGGTGGCACAGCAGGCAGTGCCGCAGTCTGGCTGCAGCAAAATAACCGGGGGGTGACGAACAACTTGTGTACGTTGATACAGCAGGAGTGGAAGCCGTTTATTGCAAGACAGGAGCAGTATTTATACATTCCACACAGCTTATCTAATTAGCATAAACTAGATACATCAGTCAACCAATAAGGAATCTCCACACTTAATGGCTCGCTTTTGTTACTTCTCAAACCACTCCCTCTGGCATTTTGCCAGGAACCATCCAGACTTGTTTACGAACTCTTAACATTCCCCTGGCAAAATGCCAGGTGTTATTTTGACTTGCTTACAGACTCTAACAAGGCAGGTGAGGCCTGGCATCTGAAGACCTTCCCTGAGGTCTTGAGTGGGACACTGTGCTGTGCTTCATCTGCATTTCTTCATTCTCAAGGTTCATTCATTCCTCCTTTTGTCTGCTATTGAGCGCCTACTATGTGCCATGCCAAAGCAGGTTTCACAGGCAGAAACTGAAAATTTGGTGGATGCTATTTAAAATTGTATGTTTGAAATAATTTTTAAGCAAATCCAAACCTAAAAGGTGTGATGATTAATCACTTCTTTTGCTGTCTCCATGTGATTAGAGTGCCCTGAAATGATCTTTTGGCTGCACACAGGAAATACTGGTGATTGACATAGGGTGGGAGATTAGGCCATGTTCAAGGCTCTTGAGGCACATGCCACCTTGCCTGAGTCTTCTCTGTATCCTGGGCTGTGAGCTCAGTGGCTGGTACTTGACTACCTAGACCCTAATAGATGCTAACCCCTAGTACACTGCTGGACATGATAGATGCCAACCCCTAGTATTCTGCTGGACACAGAGCAGATACATAGATGTCCCCTGATAAAACTTTAGACACATCATTGATAAAGCCACTGTATAATCATAGCATTTAAAAGTAAAAGTTCAGACAGTGAAGAAAAATGTAATTTGTAAAATGACTGTATCAGACCGTTCCAGCTTCCGTAACAAAACAATAGACATGTATCTCTGGTTGTGGAGGTTGGAAGCCTGAGATCAGATCTGGTGTCTTGGTTATGTTTCTCTTTCTGGCTTCTAGATGGTGCCTTCTTGCTCTGTCCTCACATGACCTTCCCTCAGTGCATAAGTGAGAAAGAGAGAGCACTCCTCCTCTTCATATAAGGCCACCGATCCTATTGGATTAGCACCACACCCCATGACTTCATTTAACCTTAATTACCTCCTAAAAATCCTATCTCCAAATAGTCACTTGGGGGTTAGGGCTTCAACATATGAATTTTGTGGGGACCCAAATTCAGTCCACAGCAATAACCTAGTATTATGATGGCACCATTATTGGATCTGTGATTTTTGTCTCTTTTCTGGTCTCACCGTGATCCAGAACCAGCTGAGAGCTTTCCTTATGGCCTGTCCAGCCTCTCATTTGGAGCCACGCCCTGCCTTGGTTGGGCGTATGCAGGGACAGAGGGAAGGACATGGACCGGGGGCAGGGTGGGGTGGTATTCCTGGGACAGTCATCTGTGGGTGGTTAGATTGTGGAAAACAATCCTGTGCTCACAGTGTTTGCCAGCGGCTGCCCAGTGCATGCTTGCCATTTGTCCTCACCACCTCCCTCCCCAGGACATGGCCTATTGTTACTTCTAGATGCCTTCCCTGTGAGAAACATTAGGGTGCCTTTGTTTTGATTACAAATAAAGATGATATCAAAATATAAAATTATGTTTAAGAAAGCCTTTATGAAATAGAAAATTTTTAGAAAAAAAATTGGTCTTTCCCTTTTCTTTTTGAGTGATTGATAGATATCCCCAGTCTAAGGGTGTCTGAAGTACAGGTATGCTCTGGGCATTTGACAGTGGGCACTGTGTATGTGTGTGTGCTCGTGTGTGTATATGTGCATGTATTGTGTCAAATGTCATTCTTTAAGAAATCAACATCAGCAAGACGTGGTGGTGCATGCCTGTAATTCCAGCAGCTCAGGAGACTGAGGCAGGAGGATTGCAAGTTCAAAGTAGCCTTAGCAGTTTAGCCAGGCCCTAAACAACTCAATGAGACCCTGTCTTTAAATAAAATATAAAAAAGGGCTGGGATGTGGTTCAGTGTTTGAGTACCCCTGGGTTCAATCCCTGGTAAACACACACACACACACACACTCAACATTAAACTCTGAACTGCTTGAAGTCGGAATGCTGCCAGACTCAGGACCATAGAGCACTGGCCTGCATGGGCAAAGGGAGACTGTGCAGCAGGCCTTGGCTCTTTGCCCGAAGTCTGCAGCTTCGGGCTTCTGCAAGGCTTGTCCCTGGCCATTGCCTGTGGGGACCATCCCACGCCATCTTGTATGTTGCTCTGAGGAGAGCTTTGGTCCCCTGGACACAGCTGCCTCAGAGTGCAATGCAGCCTCTGTCCTCAAGGCACAAACGGACTCGCAGCGGATGTGGAGGGGCCTTTGTACATAGGCCTGCAGGGGAGGTGCTGAGGCACTGGGAATAATGACCCACCGTGAAACTGACGGGAGCATGGGGTTAACGTCACCCTCTGTTGAGGATGCCCTTTTGAAATATGTTCTGGGGTATGGCTCCTAGCCCATTAATGATACCACAAACATGGGAAAGCTGGATAATTAATGATCACAGGGCACGTGGAACTGCAAAATGTCATGTAAATGCTAAGAATAAAAATTACTGTGTATTAGATACATTCCTTTAAAATATTCCATGGTGGGAAGATTAATTTTTGAAGAGTCCAAGAGTTCCACCAGGCTTCTTTCAGAGTCTTGGGTGTCTTATTATTTGAACCCCTTTGAAGGAGACCCAGGTTTCTGTATTACACACTGCTTGAAAACAAAGGTGGGGGAGCAGATTTAGCTCTGGACATGAATTTGCCCACCCCATTTTGATAAAAATTTGTCAATTGATTTTCTCTAGCCGGAGGCAGTTTGGGCCCAAAGCCAAGGAAGAGGTGAGGATCATCGAGCACCAAACACAGACGCTCCGGCTGATGCCTCACCTGGCCACAGTGCTGGCCTTGACCTTTACCAGCAGGTGAGATGGCCCTGGGGTCGATTCTGTCCAGGCAAATGGGAGGCCCTGGTATTAATAAGCACTAAAAGGAGAGGCAGACACTGGGGTCATTTCCTAACCACGAGCCAGAAGGAGCCTGTGGTGCAAATCTGATGCCCAGGGTAAAGGTGGGGGAGGTGGGGGGAACAGTGGGGCATAATGGTGCTGCCTGTAATACCAGCAGCTCAGGAGGATGAGGCAGGAGGATCACAAGTTCAAAGTCAGCCTCATACACTTAGTGAGGCCCTAAGCAATTTGGTGAGACCTTGTTTCAAAATAAAAAATAAAATGGGCTGTAGATATGGCTCAGTGGTTAAGCACCCCTGGATTCAATCCCCAGTAACAAAAATAACAATTAAATAGATAAATAAAATAAAAAATAAAAGGGAAAAACAACTGTTAGTTATCTATCAGACAAATGGAATCCAAGTGAATTTGAGAAAACCCAAACCAATGCTTCTTGCCAGTTTCTAAACATAACCGACTTGAACAGTTAAAATAGCTCTATGTTCTGATAAAAGTTCTAAATCAACAGTCAAGTTTTCTAAAGTAGGTCAAGGTGTGTATGTTGGGGTGGGGGCGGAGAGGCGGGGTACCTAGGACAAGGGCAGCGATGGTGCCTTCAGAGTGCAGGGGAATTCACATTTCAACCCAGGCTCCCCCCAGGAGCCTTCTCAGCAGCTCCTCCTCAGAGCTGGGACGCTGTGGGGTGTCTGAGTGAGTATTGTCACTCCCGCACTGAAGGCTAGGAAATTCGGGCTCTGCCTAGGATCACAGGGCCCAGGAGTAGGTGGACTGGGAAGAGGTCTCCAAACTTGGGTCCTTCCTCCTGTGTTCCTCTTCTCTACATTTGCAATGCCGCGCTCGTGGATCACTTAGAGTTGGCATGTGTTTGAAATTTACACACTGAGGAGTGACAGGTCCTGGGGTCTATAAGGTGGTGAAGGGAGAGACCTGCCATATCCACATGCTGCTTACTGGAGGGGTGAGGATGGGGGTGCTGCCCTCTGTTCCTGCTGCACAAGGCTGGAGCAGATGCCAGCCCTGCAGGGTGTCCCAACAGCGAATCCTACAGACCCAGCTTCAGGCAGCAACAGGAAGGTGGAGCCACGCTACCTGGAAAAAATTTAAATTACTTGCATCCAACATCTGTTATTTAAAATATTTGGAGAGTTTTTGAAATTTGCATATAGTAAAATGCATGGTTTTTAGTGTATAGTTCAGTAAGTTTTGATAAAAATACATATTCATGTAGCAAACATTTCAGTGTCACAAATAACAACCTTTGTTGCAAATATGCCACAATGGAACCCATTATTCTATATAATAAAAATGCATTTGGGCTGGGGATGTGGCTCAAGCGGTAGCGCTCGCCTGGCATGTGTGCGGCCCGGGTTTGATCCTCAGCACCACATACAAAAAATAAAAATGTTATGTCCACTGCAAAACTAAAAAATAAATATTAAAATTCTCTCTCTCTCTCTCTCTCTCTTTAAAAAAATGCATTAATAAAAAGAAATTATGATACACACAGTGGAATATTACCGAGCCATAAAGAATGAAATTAGCCAGGCATGGTGGTGCATGCCTATAATTCCAGCATCTTGGGGGACTGAGGCAGGAGGATCGAGAGTTCAAAGCCAGCCTTAGCAATGTAGAAAGGCCCTAAGCAACATAGTGAGGCCCTGTCTCTAAAAAAAATATAAAAAGGACTAGGAATGTGGCTCAGTGGTTGAGCATCCCTGTGTGCAATTCCCAGTACCAAAAAAAAGGAAGAGGAGGAAGTGGAAGGGGGGGAAGAGGGGAGAAGGAGAAGGAGAAGGGGGAGAGGAGAGGGGGAGGAGAAGGGGGAGAGGGGAGGGGGAGGGGAAGGAGGACAAGGAGGTGGGGGAGGAGGAGATGATGATCATCCTGTCACTTGCAGGCAAAGGGATAGAACTGGAGGATATCATATTAAGCTAAATAAGCCAGACACAGAAAGACAAATATCACATGTTCTCTCTCATATGGGAACCTAAAAAAAAGTTGATGTCAAAGTAGGATAGTGAATATGAGGGACTGAGAAGGGTTCCGGGGAAGGTGGGAGGAGGATGGAAGAAGGGTCAGAAGGATACTGACATTGCAGGCTGCATGCATGCAAATATCACAGTGAATCCCATTAATGTGCAAAATTAATATGCATTAATCAAAATAGATATAAATAGAAAAGCATCAACATTTCCCTGGGAAAGCTCCTCAGGCCCCTCACAGCCAGCTCCCACCTCACCACCAGCAGACACAGCCAGCTTCCTTCCTTCCTTCCTTCCTTCCTTCCTTCCTTCCTTCCTTCCTTCCTTTCTTTCTTTTTTTTTTGGTGGTGGGGGGGGGTACTGGGGATTGAACTCAGGGGCAATTGGCCACTGAGCCACATCCCGGCCCTATTTTGTATTTTATTTAGAGACAGGGTCTCACTGCGTTGCTTAGTGCCTTGCTTTTGCCGAGGCAAGACAAACAGCTTTCAGATTGCTCTCCCCCTAGCTTGGTTTGCCTCCTCTTGCACGGCAGTTAAGTGGAATCATATACCATATGCATTTCCTCCAACGTATCGTTTTGGTGTCCCTCAATGTTCTTGATGGTTGGTTAATTTTTATTACTGAATAGGAACATTAAATGAACAAACCCCAACTGGCTTATCTATTCTCCCCCTGATAGACCTGGGAGTGACTTCCAGGATTTTTATCGAGGATGAATAAGACACAGTGAATACTCTTGCACAAGTTTTTCATTTTTCTAAGGGTAAATACCTAGAGAGGACTTTCTGGGCAACTGGATAAGTATATGTCCAACATTCTAAGAAATTACTAGTTTTTCAGAGAGGAAGTACACATTTCTGGTCTTTTACCCATTTCTAAATTGGGTTGTTGATGAACATGAAAGTTTTTCATATATCCAGCATTTGAGTTTCCAGTACAAATTTTCTAATAAATTTATTCAAATTGTTGCTTTTTAAAATTTAATTTCCAATTGTTTGTGGACAGTGTATTAAAATACAAACAATTTTATATATTAACCTTATATCCTATATTCTAACTAAATTCACTTATTAAATTCAGCAGTTTCTTTGTGGACTCCAGGATTTTCTACATACACAATACATACATAGGAATAAAGAGTTTCCTTCTTCCTGCCACTACTGATGCCTTTGAGTTTCTCCCTGCCTTAGTGGCCTGGCTAGCCCCCCACACTGCCATGGTGAGGGCAGACGAGCCTCCCCTGGCTGGGCTTGATCCCGGGGCTGCAGGCAGTATTTCTCCATCAGTAGTGAGTGCTCACTGCAGGAGGTTTTTAGATGCCCTTTAGTAGATGGAGCAATCCCCCTTCTAGTTGGATGAACATTTCGATCATGAATCTTGACAGCAGAATTTGTAAAAACAAAATGAAACAAAAAAACCAACCTGACTTGCCTTGACATTGGGTTCTGTGGTCTTCCGACTTTGCTCTTTTGCAGAACTGTTTTGCCTATTACAGTGCTTTTTGCCTTCACTTCTTGAGTGGTTTATTTATTTCACCTAACTGTTGAATGTATAGCCAGAGTGCTGGGTGGCATTTTCCCGGTCATCTTTTTACCATCTGTGGGGTCAGTAGTGACTTTCCCTCTTTCAGTCCTGATACTTTGTGTCCCCTCCCTCATCAGTTTGGATAGAGGTTTATTGATCTTGTTGGTTTTTCAGTATTGAAGTGATTGTCGTTTGTCTGGTTTAAATTTAATTGATACCTACTCCAGTCTTTATGAGTTCCCTTCTGCTTGCTGTAACTTTGCTCCCTCCCTCCCTGCCCCACCCCCTGCCCTGTGAAAGTTTACATTACTGTGTTGAGACCTTTCTTCTTGCCTAATATAATCATTTAAGACTAAAACTTCCCTCTAAGCATTGCAGCTGCAGCCTGTTTTGATACGTTGTGTTTTCATTTAGTTAAAAATAGTTAAAAATTTTCCTTGAAACCTCCCCTTTGACCCATGGATTATTTAGAAGTGCTTTCATAGTCCAAGAACATCCTTGGTATGAGCTCTGTTCTTTGAAATTTATGGCACTGTGTATATTTGTGGTGTGTGTGTGTGTGTGTGTGTGTAAAGTGTTCCACGTACACTTGAGAACAATGTGTGTTCTGTGGTCAAGAGAAGCATCTCGTCGCATCTGCCAGGTCCAGCTGGTGAACTGGGCCCTGCAGATTGGACATCCTTTCCGATTTTCTGCCCACTTGTTCTCGGTGAGCGAGAAGGCAGCTGACATTGCCAACCAGGGTAAACTTGCCTGTTTCTCCTTTCAGTTTTACCAGTTTTAACTCCAATTATTTTGGAGGTTGTTTTAAAAAAGAAGTTCTAGGTGCATGCACATGTAGGATTGTCATTCCTTCTTGGAATATTGACTGTTTGTCCTGATGTGATTTCTTTCTTCAGCCCCCAAAACATTCCTTGTCCTGAGGTCCGTTTTTGCATACAGCGTAGCTGCCCAGGGCTCTGGTTTAATGTGTTCGGGCACTTTTTTCTTTACACTGTAGTTTAGCCAACCCTGTTTTTAAAGCAGTTTTCTTGTTAACAGCATATAATTGGGTCTTGCTTTTTTATCCAATTTGTCAATCTCCAGCTTTTGACTGGTGTGTTTAGACCAATTGTACCTAAAGTGATTACTGATATGTTTGGATTCAAGTCTGTCCTACTATAATTGATGCTTATTTTTTCCATCTGTGTTTTTTATTTTTATTTTCTGCCTGCTCTTGGTCGAACAGAACGTTGTTTATTATTCCATTGTGTCATTTTTATTGACATATTATTTACACTTTTTAAAAAGCATATTTTTAATTGTTGGCCCAGGATTTACAATATACATCTTTAATGAATCAGAGGCCATCTTCAAAAAACAGACAAATTCTGTTGAGTAGGGCCCTTAAACAATGTATTCCCAAATCTCCTCCCGTCCTTCGTGCCATTGTTACCCCAGAACACA